CATAGTATAGATACTTTATTATTAATATTACTAAAATCACTATTATTATTATTATTGTTCAATACCTAACTTTGTCTCCTCCATTGATGCTCCATATATATCTTCATTAAGCATTGAACATACGTAGAGATTTTGTACTTATCAAAAAAGTATTTGACGTCTGAAATGCAGATGATTACTTTACATATTCAAAATGCTACAAAGAATAAATAAATCTTGCTTAGTGCAATATGCCTAATTAAAAGTAAGCAGTGGTTTATTGAACAGACTTCATAATTTATGCTATTTCCACGAGGAATCTTAATAGAACTTATTAAATACTTTGACAATATCTTAGCTGCTATTATGAAAGTGCATTCCGCTGCCCACTATCATTCATCGGTACCTAAAAAATGCTTGTAACTTAATATCAATATCGAGGCAATCTGCCCAGGATTTATATATACCGAGAATAGACTAATCAGTTGCAGACCATAATATCAACGAGAAATTTCAAATAGCCTATACAGATGTAAACGGTATATTAGTATGCTAGTGAAAGAATATAAATTGTCTTATTAAAATAATTCAAGGTTTTGTAAAGTTTAACCGAACGACATCACGATTCAAATTAGAAATCGATTATGTAACACTTAGATATACAGTTAATTAGAGGAAATCAGGAGGAAACATTGGGGCTAGCCCTCATGCTTGCTGCTTAGGACTAGCGGATATAGCTTATATGATACCTCAAACCTATAACACTCTATGTCGTCATCAGATACGCTACTATTATTATCTCTGATTAACCAGTGGGTTTCATTGTAACTTAAAAATGGCCAACAAGTGGATAAGATGTGAATTATTGTTTGATCGGAAAATATAATTTACATACTTGTATGGATCATTATCAGCACTGTCATAACATTGACTTAATATGCTGATCAGACGAACAAATAGACCCCAAGGTGTATATTTAAACAATAACCTCATAGGTTTATATAGAATAGATGGATTAAGGCTTTCGGTGGAACTAAAGATGTACATTTCATCCTACTTAGGACTTGTTAGAAAAGGTAGTGAGATTCTAAATTCGATATTCCCTACGTAATTTGTGCCCAATAGCTTTCGTTCTAAGCTTCCAAATTACTATCCATTTAGCTCCTGATTCGAAATGTCCTATTGTTATAACTTTGAGAATATAGCACACAACGGCGAAAACTCATTTTCAACAAAATCATTCACCTTAGCTATAAACACTTCTCACCATTGAAGATCTATGATCTGAAACTAGAAAATTAGAGGTTCCAAGATGGGTGCAATTATATTATGTTTCCAAATCAGTCAATATTATAGTGATGACTTCTAGTGTTTAGCACAAAATTTTACAAAAAAAACACTATCTAGTATTCATTACATAATTAGAATCTTAGAGGATACCCCCTTCCTAGCTTAGGATTGAATACAAAGAAAATTATTGATTAAGTTATATTCAACCCGAAAAATGACCTCAATACGTACTAATAATATGTTAATAAAATGAGTTTGTATTAATGAAAAATCGGTCAAAACATACTGAAAACCAATTATAAACATTTGAAAAATCCATGTTAAACAAACATTCACATTGAGATTTAGATGATGGTTTGAGGTAGTCGACAGGAAACCCTGGGCTCGGGTTTCATGCTACTTGGCACCTGTACCTGTAATCTTGAGGGAACTGGTGCTCCCTGGAGGATTCGATCTCCTGTCACCCAGCTTCACATTCAGAGACATTACCACTGCGCTACCCGAGCCGCGACCGACCTCCTGTAGGACTGAGATGTAATCACAATTGATTGATCACTGGGTGGTGATCAATGTCATGCGTAGATTACCTCCAATCACCATATAAATCTGAATATATAGTGCCTGCAGTGTCGAGTCACTTAGACTAATGACCACATTGCAACATGATCGATAGCATTCGATCTGTACTAATAAGGACTAGACACGCATGAAATTGATCACCACCCATTGATCAATCAATTGTGAAATATCCACATTAAAATTTTTAATTCTGATAAATTGCTTAATTATTATTTATTAAGATCCAATGATCATATTCAACATCTTTCATTTTATACAATGTCAAGTAGATTTACTACAATTATGAAATGAAAGTAAATCTTTGTTCAAATTTAATCTTCATGAACTATACGAATATATGGGGATCTAAAATATTTAATGTACCATAATCAAGAAATCCTATATTGCTTAATAATTTCCTTAACTCGTACATATTCTTTAAATCAACAAGTGATATTTTGGGTGTTGAGATATAATTAGCAGAAAACTCTGTTTAACCTAGCCTTTGTGCTAGTTGGCACTTCACAGCACGGTTCACTTGTAATCTTGAAGGTACTTATATTCCTCAAAGGGTTCGAATTTTCGAGTATGTCTTGTTGAAAAGCACAAATTAGTATACAACTTAGGCCAAACAGGGTTTCTTTCAAACTACCCCCGGCTACTTAACATTATTTCATGATGCACATGATGCCAAGTCACTTAGATTAGTGGTCATCGCATTGCTCTGGATAAAGAGGGCAGTGGTTACTATTCGGTGATTAATCAGCTGTAACCTGATAATGATTTTTATCAGTATTTAACATCGGTTGGTGAAAAACCGTTTTATTGTAGTTTAAAATCCAAAATCGCCACACAATCACAAGTGTACACAGAAATGAAACATTTTTGTTGAGATACCGAGTGAACCATGATAACTTTGAACCATATAATCAGAAAGCAGTTATACAATTTACAATTATCATCCACTGAAACATGAATATTTTATCTATAATTGACAAGAAATATTGATTGATTAAATTATGGACATTTTTCAGTAAAACATTTTCATTGTTCATTTTATTCCATTCCTCGTATATCAGCGTATGCATAGGGAAACACATATACACATTCAAATGCTTACTGAAACAGTAGAAAATCTGGATAAAGTACAATTTTTTCAATAAGTTAAAACAATTAAACAAACAAATTGTAATAAAATTCCTCTTGATTTTTATAAATTACAATGGTTAAAATCATGAATCAGTTGAAGCTAGACCACCATGGAAAACCTGAAAGCACTGGACGGCCGTTTCGTCCTATTGTGGGACTCATCAACAGTGCGCATCCACGACCTCGACTCCTGTGAGGTTCAAAATTGAAGATGGTAAATGAATGTTCATTATGCCTAAATTCATCCATACAAATATACTTACATATACACACAAATGAATGTATCTATACATATAATAGCACGAGTATTTCAACTGTGTAGTGAAAGACATTGTAACAAACGACGTAAAAGTGTACATAATTATTATACTATATGGGCAATATGCACATTATTGTAAAGTATTAAATAAATTGTATTATGTATTAGTTTGCATGTATCAATAAACCGGATAGTATCACAGATATACTTGTCACTAGTGCTTATAGCGGTAACCTTGTCAGATCAGATTTCTGTTTTGTAGTGCACTGAATTACACTATAGCTTATCTAATCAACTTTGACTTTTTGTTTTTAATGTCAGTTCACTGTATTTGAAAATAAGAAACTTATAGTGAATCTTTTCTATCTGAGGTCGGTAATTTTACTTTAGATGTTTTATTTCTTTCTAAAAGAAACACTTTATTATGAATGATCTACAAGGTCAAAGATATGCATTGTACATAAATATCAATAAAGAGGAAGAATATAGATCAGACGTAAATTTCTGTCAGTTATCTCAGTTTATTTCAAGTTTTCATATAAGAATCCATGTGATGCCTAGAAAAACCAAAGTTATGAGTTATTCGACAATTTTATTCCTTTTTCATGCATGACGATCTACATCACTACAAAGTCGTCATTGTTCCCATAACGTGATCATACGTTGTTATGCTTAATGTGTCAACAGACTACTTGTAAACAAGTATATTTTTCAGTGTATCAACTAACACCCCATTTTTTGTTCTTAATCATGGAATAAATTGTTCAAATACTGTTTTGGAACTTTATCATTCGTGAATACTGGTCGACGGCTTATGTTCTATTGCGGGGAATAGGTGTAAGTAAGTAAGAATCATCCACGATAGTTACTTCACAGTAGAATCGTTTCTACTGAAATATCCACCTAATCTGAAGATAATTTCAGTTTAAATTTTAAAAAAAACGAGAAACACTAAATGAACAGTTAATGTTTATTTTTTCATACTACTTTGAAGTATAAAGCCATGAACTTTTCAAAATTAATTTTAAATAATTGCTATATCCAAAATAGAAGGATAATAATAATGTCAATCTTTGAAACTAGCAATAAAGATTTATTGAATATTTGACATTTTGAATTAATTTAAGATCATGAGTCCATTGAAGCTAGACCACCATGGAAAACCTGAAAGCACTGGACGACCGTTTCGTTCTATTGTGGGACTCCCCAGAAATGCGCATCCATGATTCCGTACCCCGTGAGACAATGGTTTACGGTGGAGCAGCTTCGTACATTGATTGAAGTTAGACATTAACACTGTTGGATGCCAGCTCAGTGGTCTAGTTGGTCAAGCTCCTGGCGCGAGACTGATAGGTCCTGGGTTCAATTCTCGCGGGGTGTGGGATCGTGTATGCGCACTTCTGAAGAGTCCTCTACTAGGACGAAACGGCCGTCCAGTGCTTCCACGTTTTCTATGGTCGTCTGGCTTTAATTGATTCATGATTTTTATCAGTGAAATAGATATTACCTTTTTCGTTTTAACAATCCAGTCTGTATTTCCTAAATTGTAAATGTAATAATTATTTATAGAATGTAATAGAAAGTCTAAAAAAATAATTAAAAGTATCTATTTTTTATTTCGATTATCTTTATCATAAATTGACGAAAATTAAATTATTTCAACCAATTAACAATCAATATTTTATTAACCAATAAAAATTGTTTTTTACTTGAAGGTCATTACTCTTGAAAAAGTTATATATAAAAGTTTTCAATTCAATGTATTATATAATTGTAATCTGTTTTATTTTCTTTTAATAATATAAGGTGATTTTGGTGAGTAATTTGATTTTTGTAAAGTTATGTAATGATTTTGTTTTGTTTTGTTTTACTAAATTTTATTCTATTCGTTTCAAAGTATTTTCTAAAATAGTAGTCTATAATAAACAATGATTAGTATATCACGTATACTTCCGATAGAGAAGCAATTCATTCATAAATAAGAACTTTCGTCTAAATTTGATCGAATAGATATTAAGGAGGAAGAATGTATTGGTAAAATTTCATCAAATGAATTTTGAAGTAAATTCATTGTTTCACTTGGCAACCAAATCCAAACTTATTCAAGGAAATAAATTTATTATCAGAGGGGGTTTGTGGAGATCTTAGAAATTTTCACAGATTTAAATCATGAGTCAGTTGAAGCTAGACCACCATTAGTATATGGTATATGGTGGCGCGACTTCGTGGATTGGTTGAAGTTAGACATTAACACCGTTGGATGCCGGCTCAGTGGTCTAATGGTTAAGCGCTCGCGCGCGAAGCCAGTAGGTCCTGGGTTCGAGCCCCGCGTGGTGCGGGATCATGGATGCGCACTGCCGAGGAGTCCCATACTAGGACGAAACGGCCATTCAGTGCTTCCAGGTTTTCAATGGTGGTCTAGCTTCAACTGACTCATGATTTAAATCTGTGAAAATAAATTTATATTGAATGATGTTTTTTTTAATGATTAATTTAAGAGTACAAACATATTCACTGTAAATTTTTTGATTGATTGAATATAGGATTAGATAGTTAATTTATCAAAGTATGATGCTTTAAATATTCACATATTCACTATATTGCTTGAATTTGTTAACGAATATTCTATACGTATTTATGCTGGTATATAATTTTTTCCATGATCTATATGACTTAGAACGATAGTCTACTTGATTATAAAAATTAATTGATTTCTCTTTAGGACTGGTTTATTGTATGTATTTGTATATCAATACTGATGCTCCTATTAAGATGTAACGCTAAGATTCAAGTACATCAAAATGGTCAATCTTAAATAGGATGAAACTCATTCTTTTTTTGGGGGGGAAGGGTTCCATTGTTATAATTGTTATAATTGTTATAATATAACTCTATGCACATATAAGAGAAACGACTGATTTAAATTTACATAATAATATCAACATTACTTACTTACGCCTGTTACTCCTAATGGAGCATAGGCCGCCGACCAACATTCTTCAACCCACTCTGTCCTGGGCCTTCTTTTCTAGTTCCATTCAATTCTTGTTCATTTTTCTCATGTCTATCTCCATTTCCCGGCGTAATGTGTTCTTTGGTCTTCCTCTTTTCCTTTGGCCTTGAGGATTCCACGTGAGGGCTTGTCTTATGACGCAGTTGGTTGCTTTTTCCAATGTGTGTCCTATCCACTTGTTGTGCTTCTTTCTGATTTCTTCCTTCGCTGGGATCTGGTTTATTCTCTTCCACAATAGGTTGTTGCTAATAGTGTCCGGCCAATGGATCCGAAGTATTTTCCATAGACAACTGTTAAAAAACACCTATATCTTCTGGATGATGGTTGGAGTCCCTCCGGAGGCTACTGCTGGTCCCAAGCCCGAATAAAGGAGGAGGGTTGAGCATGGGGTTATTGACCATATCTCATAGAAAACTAACTCGCTAAAAAAACGCTAACCAGAAAAAAAACTTATTCGAATATCAACATTAAAATCATTCAAATGCTTTCTAATAATAATATATAAATAATAGTTAATATACAAATGCCAATGAGGCAATAATTCCAAACAGCTATTACTTTGAATAGAAAGAATCCTTCTTTTTTTTTTATTTTTCAAAAAAAAAATGTATGATTAATGTTAGATATATGAATTACTTTATCAAGTATCATTGAAATGTAAACAATATTCTCAAAATACATAATAATAAAAAAAGTACAATATCATGTACTTAATCACCTCTTAACATATAATACTATCAGTGTTTATAAATTTCAATAAAATAAAAAGTAAAGTTAATTTATATTAAGTAAATTAAAATGATTTTTTTTTATTTTTAACTTATTCTTTTCATTAAAAAAAATAAAATTCATAAATACAATTTGTTGTGAAGGTAACATTTTTGTGTAAATCACATGAGTAGAATAATGAACATGAAAAAATGAATCTATAATATTGTTTATTATTTTAGTAACCAATCATTTTAAATGACAATAATCACAACAAATCAATAATAAATAAATAGTTGGTTTTTATTTCTTTTATATATAATTAATTCAATTGTCTGTAGTTAATAATAATATGTCTATATATTAGCTATAAATAATAACTAAGAGAGTAAATTGATTTAGAGGAAATGGTTTGAATTATTTTCGGATGAGGTCACTAACCTCATGACCAACACTCCTCATGGGTTTGGGTTCGACAGCAGCCCCCGGATGGACTCCAGGAGGGATTGATTTAGAGAAAACATGAAATTATTTTAAGATTTTTTTTAAAATTCCAGTCAACTTAAAGCAGATATCTCATTCTAGTTTAAATTGCCATCAATGATTTCTCATGAAATCAATTCTGGGCAACCAATGTTTTTTTTGGGGGGAGGGGAGGGTCAATAAAGTAAAACTTAAAAATAAACATTTTGAAGTTAATTAATTTACATTAAAATAGAAATATATAATAAACTTGTTAATTTAGAGCTAATATTCACCATGAGCTGATATTTGTTGTACACAATCATATTCTGTAAATATTGAAGCAGATATGAGACTGTTCAAAGGATATACAGTACTCCGATTACTCATAAAGTACTTAGGTTGACCCTAGTGGAATAATGTCTCATATATAAACTTATTTTGAGAATTATTGAACACGTCAATAAAATTCGTGCATATCTCGCTTATTAGAAATACATTATTATTATAATCATTATCTATGCTAATGTATCGGACCCCAATCGTTACGCTTGGTAAGATTATGACCAAGTGTAAGGAACAGAGAACTATGCATTCAACTTCTACCGGTTTATAAAAGCCATAGATAGAGCAAATCAATTAATTAGAATGCGAATATAGTAGAATCACTAGCATGCTACAATATTTCGCTCACCAAGATTATCATTCCAAATATGTAACTGAAAAAAAATCCATGGATAATGTCAATTATAAATAATGTTCATCCGTCTTTTTGATATTCATCCCCCAAAATCTATACCAACCACATTATACGTGACACTAGATAGGGTACTCAAAGCTACCGAATTCGATCAAAATAAACGTTTCCCCATGAAAGCATAGAATTCTAATGCGAACAAACAATAGAAATACTTCTAATACCGAGACTCTGTTGACTTTAATTTCCCACTCGCCTAAGTAGTAAGTGCTTCAGAGTGTCCTCAACCAATTAGTCAAAAATTCACAGTAATCACCAGCGTCTTGTAAAAACGACTACCTCTCACAGAAACTAGTTACTTCTTTTTCAAAAAGAAACTTCTCACAATCTACCATGTTAATAAGCACTTCCCATACATGTTAGAAGGTATATGATTCATGATTGATAAAGATCGTAGACCGATAACGGACGTATTGAAACCTAAATCCGATAAATATTCTCCTAGAGAAATCCAGTACCCTGACCTTATATCACGATTCACCAGCAACACGTCAAAATTAAAGAATATCGGTTCACCAAACAGGTTGTTATTATTATTATTTAGTCAAGAGATAAACTAACAAGTGACTTACTGCTATGCAAGTCAAAAAAATCTTTTGTTTGATGAAGCATGTGTTTATAACTTTACTAATTCCTTGAAAAGGCATTACTTCGAAGATGAATTATGAACAAGTCTACAATTGAGTGGTTTAATCTGACTTTATAATGATGAATAATAATTGATAATTGAAATTTACATGACACTGAACACATATATTTTTTAACAGGATTTGTTGCTTATACACTGCGTACAAACATTCAATGTATAACTAACTGTCTTTCTCATGATATTTGTTTAACTTGAAAAATATCAAGAATATTTTCCTTAATTAATTCTTATCATTACTAGTATTATTACTTATTTATGTTTGGTATTGTTGAGTTCTGTAGGTTAGTTGGCTAAATTTTGCATCATTCATTGTTATTCCGGACAACATCATCATCTCCTACTTTATGTACAATTGAGCTTTATAATTATTCCACAATTGTTAGTTCCCTCTGAGACAAACTTGCATAGAAGATGAAATGTACAAAGACAAATGATCACAAAGCAAAGTTATCAAAACTAACTAATTTAACACTTACGAAATAACTAAAAAGCTTTTTTTTAAACTACAAAATCTAAGTAATTAGACCATCTAGCTTATGAAGGATTCAACAACATTAAAAGTATCCAAATCTGAACTTTATATCTCCTTGATCTCTATTGCTCATTTACTTTCAGGAAAACATTAAATAAAAGGGAAAGTCGAATGTTATAACAAGTGGTATTTTCAATAGTTTTCTCTATTTAATTTGTATGATCTATAAAACTCACTGTTTATTTAATTAACTGACGGTATATCTTTTCAACACTTCAGTCTTATTTATATTACATAGAGTTGTATATATATACTAATATTATTATTGAAAATATATAACTTTATACATTTAGAATAAAACAGAAATTGTTACTTCATAGAAATCATGTTAAAATTACCTTATCAGTTTTTGGATAACTAATGTACATATTTGTTGACTTTTGTATTCGTTTAGATATGTCTTTCTGTATGTGTATGTGGCTAGGACTTTGTGTATATATATATAGTGTTACTATTGTTATCATTAGTAGTAGATGTAAGTTCATTTTATTTGGCTAAACTATACTAAGTATTATTAGTAGTTCACCGGTGTGAACAGCGATTAATCAATATTTCTGTATCATTCATGTTATACAACTCAAAATGAAAGGTTAATCAATACGATTATGCTATACAACGATAAATTGTTTAAATTAGAGTAAAAATGATTTTTTTTTTTCAGAACACATGTAATACAAAGGTAATGAAGTAGTTG